ATAATTCTGATTTAGCTTGTCAACTAAATGAAGTTCTCCATTTTGCAACACAATTGTCCTCCGCTTCCCAACACACGCCTCCCACTTCCTCAGTCTTCCCTCTTGCTGGTGAACACACATACAGCATTGACAAGGGTAACCTGGATTTGTGACACGATGAAACACATTTTCCTGTGGATCTGTTCAGTTTACTCATTAATTTTAGAGAAGCAAGGAAAATTGACTATGATTCAACCATCACATATCCTTAAAAACATATTCTTCCATAGAATAGTTAATGGATAAATTTAAAGATTTGTAAAATGTATGCTGTCAACAATATTTGAAAGAAACGAGGTACTTGTTCACAGGCTTGGTTGTCTTAAAATATTGTCTATGTGAAAAACTCCAAGATTAATCTGCAATTGTATCTTTTAAAGTCATTTCATTTCAGGAAATAGACATAAGTCTCTTCCTTCAAGGGAAACATCTGAGTATGGAAACTGACGTCTTATAACTTGGTTGACCTTACCAAGATATGGACTCTACAGCTGAAAAGGTCTGCTTACAAAAATTTAAATTCAGCTGACTTTATATAATAATGAACTCTCATCTTCTTTTATAGCCTTATAACTACTTAGTGATTTGTGGTAGCTGTGTCTTCTAGACATTGTATATACACTGAGTATCCAAAAAGGAAATTAGGTTATAAAATAGTGTGCTGAATCTAGTCAACTCTGTTCATTGAGATATCACAAAGTAAAAAAACACAGATGAGATGGAACTAATGGCAATTTACAGTTAGAAAGAGACTGAGATAGTAAAAACTCAGACAAGAATTAGAAATTACAGATTAGAAGTCAAAAAGCCTACATAAGTCTTGGACTAGCTCCATTTGGTAATTTACTGGCTTGGGGGAAAGATGTTTAACCTCAGCTGCTCTTATGTTACTAGCCACATTCATGTGTACACTCCAACATTTATTTGGCAGCTACTAAATACCCACAGCCTTGCTAGGTTATGGAGATAAAACTCTGTCTTGCCCTACAGACTGCTAATGGAGCAAAAATATAGTTGATGGCTCCCCATGTTTTCTCAACTTTGTAAACCCCAAAGTCGGGACAGTCCTACTCCGCCACAGAGACTCATTATGGGAGTAAATCTTAACAGTTTGGTCCATACTGGAAAAGCCCCTCAAGAAATTTTCAAGACCTCCATTCCCTCTATCCACTCCTTAGAATTACTGGTTTAGAAGGCTCTTACCACCTCAAAGGGTAGCTCTAGAAACAACATAACATTACAGGAAAAATGAAGACTGAAGAAAAATGAAGCCCTAACAGTGTAGTGTGACTGTGTTATTTACATCTTCTCTCTACACAGACATTACTAAAGAACTTCAGCATTTGTTTTTAGGGAGCAATCTCCTCCTACGTTGATGCTGCTTTGTAATGGATACAAATCCATATATTGTGTTTTCATGTAATTTTTCATAGCAATATTAACGTAGGGCAGCCCTACTTTCCCCCTTTGTAGACAAACAAACTGAAGGCCAGAAACACAAAATAACTTGCCTTAATCTCACACCTAGTGAGCAGTGTCAGAAATGAAAACTAAGTCTTCTAATTCTAAGGCCAGTCTAGTTTCTACCATAAAGGAGAGCCCTATCTAGAAAAAAAAAAAAAAGTTATATTTTTTTCTTTTACAGACAGAAAAGTTTTGAAAAGCTTCAAATCACTTCAAATAAGTGATTCAATTTTAAAAATAAAATTATAAACTCTCATTTATATGGTACAATAATATGGCTATTACTCAACATTATTGGCAAATAAGGTATTCTGCAAGAGTTCTAAGTGTTTATATATTAGATGTTTAAGAAGAAAAAAATAAGCACATATATACATCCCATTAGAACACAAAGAACATAATTTACACTTAAAAAAAGTAATTTACAGTCTCCATACACAGTCACCACTATGCTATTATAGCAAGTTTGAGAGAGACGTACTCTAGAGCATAAAGCCTGAAGGCTATAAACTCAGAGTTCAGGCTGTTGGTGTTTTTCCTCCCTTCTGGGGATTATCTCCAAGTTCTATCCTTGGTTCTGTTACTTCCTTTCAGCTTTAACCGACTCCCCTCATCCCAGCTCCTTCTACCCACCCTGCTCAGAAGTCTCTGTTTTTGTAATCTAAGAAGGAGTGGAGAGCTAGCAAGAGAAATCAGAAAACAAACTTTAGTAAACACTGAAATATACAAACCTACATCCATGTGTATCTATATGTATATACATATGCAGTCATATAACACACAGATTAAGAGTATCAAATGATGTGTTCTCAGTGCTTGGATTACTTCCTTGATTAGAATCAAGTAAGCATGACTAACCAAACACGTAAGGTAGAATTTTCACTAACTTGATAACTGATATGGCAAATGGAAAAAATATATTATGAAATTTAGAGTTCAGACTTTAGGTTGGGTCTAGGTTGGGTCTAGGTTTAGAGTCATAAGACTTTAGTATGGATCTAAGTTTGGTCTTACGATTCAGAATAGATTGGTTGACTTGGTCTGATTCTAAATGTTTTCGCCTAGAAAAGGGAAATAAAAATAACACCCATATGCCATAATTTTGTAAAATGAGTGTTTTAACCTATATAAAGTATTATAAAAAAAATCTCTTATTGTTAATTCAAAAAGTTCTGATATAAAGAGAGCCATGTTTCTCATATATTTATTCTCTCTCATAACACAGATTAAAGAGTAAAGAAATAAAAAATACAAAAACAATAAGTCTCTACTCTCATGAAATTCTATTTTAAGTTCACAGCCTGGTTTTATGCAAGTTAATGTTAAGACGCTAATTCCCAAGTAATAGGGAATCAACTATATCAAAAAAGTACTAAAAGACATTTGTCAGGTTTCATTACCCACTGACTGATATGCTTCTCAGTGAAATAAAAAGCTGTACCTACATTTAGGCTTTTCCATCTTTATTTATACCTGAGTTACAAAAACAATTAATTCTTCAGGGACTTCCACAGAAGCTACTTCAAACAGGAAAAAGCTAAGCAAGAATTTCTAGAAAACCTTTTGCTTTAGAAGTAGAGAAGGGCGGATTCTGCAAATAGTTAAATCATGGGTTCTGTCATGACAGCTGACCCACAGGCTAGGTTGGCCAGCCAACATGGAGGCTTCCACTGCCCACTCCAAAAAATCCTGCTCCACAGAGCTTTGTTTTACATTATCACTTACTTAATTAGTGGGTCTAGGAAGGGGAGATCTTATATTGGAAGGTACAAAGTGACCTTAGGATGGTGCCAGAAGTAAATTTCACCTACTTATCTTCTGCTGGGCCAACCATATAATTAAGAAAGAGAGAGGAGAGAAGAGGAAGCCTTAAAAAGTAAACTGACTTCAGTACTGTACAAATTTATTTTTTTCCCAATTTCTGAAAAATCAGCTGCTGGTAACAGAACCCACGTTTTCCTAAGGGAAACAACCTTCTCCTTTCCTGGTCTAGGTGGTTCTGGTTGTCCAACTCCAGTCAGAACCAGCCTATCTGATCATTGTGTGCCCTAGCTGCAGGGACCGAAGCAGAGATAGGCATGTGAGCCAAGTTCAATCTGAGGGGATTCCATAGGGAGCTTTTATAGGAACTGCTAGGAAAAGAAAACCTCTTTTTAATGGAGGCCTGGTAGCTGTCTCAGCACCATGAGAGAACGTGCATGAGAACAGAGCCAGAACAAAACCAAGCTATAGAGAGTGGGATTGAGTTCTAATGACCTGGCTTAAGACCATGGCTTGCCTGAAGCCAAGCCTACACTAGGACTTTCCAGGATGTAGGCCAATTAATTTCCATTGGTGCTTAAGCCAGTCTGCTGAATTTTCTGTCACCTGTAACCAAAAGCCCACATCCTGAGAAAGAATTACCGAGTTCCTACTACCAACTCAATGCTGGACTTGAGGACTACAAAATGGCTAACATGTAAATAATGTGAAATCATGTCACATCAATTAAATAGCATGAAAATCAATCCATGAAGCAAATAAATAATTACTTGGTTAGCTTTTTAATCCCACAACTGAAGATACTACTTTGCGGTCTCTGGCAAAACAAATGGGAAACATTCAAGACACTTAGGCTTAAGCCTCTGAAGTACCGATTCATCTCTCAGAAAACTTCCCTGAGAAATAAACCTTAGGGAGTCTTCATGTTGAGCTCCTTAGTGAATATAAATGTCAATTACACAACAATACTTTTGTTAATAGCAAAAATTCTACACATTCACCAGATACAGTTTTCAACAACAATAAAACTATCTGGCATAATCTGGTGTTGATTAATTGCTTATAAGTAGGGTGAGGGAAGTAAAAACAAACTAAAGACGACGTCTCTTTAAGAAATACAATTACTTGGACAGAAGCAAGAGCTAGCCTAAATACACATATGGAATCTCAGTCACATTTTTCATTTAATATACTCATTTGGAAACCTTCAGTAGGAATAAAGGCAGAACTCAAACAGGGACTCAGAGCCTGAACTAGCTGGTAAACAAAATTATTCTATATGGAACACAGCTTAAATCACTGGCTTGGTTTTGATATTAATATCAAATTGATATTTAATTTGCCACAAACACATATATTTATAAACACAGGAAAGAGAGAAAGGATGTATTCTGTATGTGCCGAGTAAAAACACTTTTCAAGATCACACAAATTAAGTTTATGATGACACAGAATTATTTTTCTAAGTCTCACTGAGAAAATAAAGACTGTGACAAACGAACACAAAAGTCTTTTTGACTTGATCATTGCTGAGAATTTCAAATTTTGCTCATTAAATACTGCTCAGCAGAAAATCTCCAGGTGGTTTTTAGATAAGGCGCCATTACTATTTATCACTGACAGATTACATCAAAAATATTTTGGAAGCATTCCCAATAATGCTATCGCGTTAACTGTGCAAGTGAACTACATACGAGAAAAAAAAGTGAAAAAGGAACACCCACATGAACATTTACCTTCCACTGCTCTTTTGAAGAAAACTTTGCAGCTGCCACAGGTTACTACCCCATAATGACATCCTGAAGCCTCATCCCCACACACCAAACATATTTTGGAAGGTCTTGAGGATCCAGTAGAAACACTTCGTAAAGTAGAGCTGGGGAAAGAAATCAAGATTTCAATAACTACACTGTAATGGCACATTGAATATGCTCTATAGCTTAGCTCAAAATTTGTTCATCATAACGGTCCCATACATGAATTCAGTCTGTAGTGGTCACCCACCATGTGACTTAGCAAAATAAAGGTAAAGACTCCTCAGAGAGTAATGGTATTGAAAATGCTGTAAAGTCTCTTCTCAGTCCTGAGTGATAATCACATATAAACCTTTTTCCTTCTTTTCCTATTATTGAGAAAGTCTTTAAGAAAAAACAAACAAACACACACATTATTTACACTCTTGGGCAGTGAGGAGAAGAATCTTGAACCAAGTCGTCATGGAAGTCTTTGCTGTTCTTTTGTTTTGGCATCAACAAACTACTACAATACTTCTCAACACTCTTCCCTTAGACTCTGATTATACATCTCTATTATGCCAGATTAAGAAAAACAAACTTCCCTTTCCAAAACAATCCACTGATTAAAAAAAATGTTTCCTTGCCTCTAGGGTCAGCAATTTTAGCCCTCCAAGCTCCTGCATTTCTTCATGTTACCTTTTATAGGCATGTTCAAATTACTTTGTTTTGCTTATCAATTTGAAGGGATATAGTCAGTACTTAAAAAAAAAAAAAAAGCCATATGGTATATAGTAAATAACTCAGGTATCTTTCATGGCAAAAAAAGAAAGGATTCTAGACAATGGTTTTTAGGGACATCTAATTCTTTAAGCAACTATCCATTTGAATACTTTCTAAGGGGAATCTTCTCAAGATATATTATATATTACTATATTAGTCATGGTGCATTCTGAACAAAATGTTTTAAACTGTAATAAGGAGTCATAGTTCAGTGATAGTTTATATGTGTACCAAAACAGGCAAAGAAGTTGACTTTTTCATTCACATTTCACATCCATGTATTGTATATTTAACTTACAGGTTCTGTGCAAGGTGGGGGGGGGGAATAAATATTTAAAAACAAAAAACAATGTTTGCCCTCACACTTAGTGGGGACATAAAATGTTACATAGTAAGTGCTACGGTTCAATGTACTATGGGGACACACTTTGGGTTCAGCCCTCCATCCTGGGAATACAGGGGTCAGAAAACACTTTCCAAATATAACAGTTGAACTGAGTAACTCTGGGTAGAGTTTCTGTCACCTATGTCAAAGCTTTTGTCTCTATGTAAACCAGCAGGCACTGGGAAAAAATTTTAAAAAATACATCAAAAGGCTAAAATGGTTATGTTACAGTGAGGATCTCTGTTTTACAAATTAGCTAAAATGTGACAATTTTGTGTTCCTATTTTTTAAAACTATCTTAAATGTTCGAACTCCACTCGATGAAGGGACACGCTGTTCAGCTTTTCAGAGTGCTGCAGCATGACTGCCTTCTAGAAAATGACTTCTTAAATCAAGGACTGAAACAATGTTCTCCAGAGTTGCTTCTCCTTCTGAGAAAAGTGCTCTTTATTATTTTTATTAGTGTCCTTTGACTTCTTTATGGCATTCAAAACATTCCATTTCAGCACCAGTAACTTCCTCAACATATTAGCCAGTAAAACTCAATCCGTACTCTGCCCGACTCATCTTATACTTCACAGGGAGTCGCCACAATTTTGTAAATATTTAGAATATAATTTAAAATCATCATTAAAGTGTAATTGCTTCTTCACAGCTCCAAACAGACATGGGATTCTTATTCAACATTTTTGCGGGCCTTAGTCTTGGTCCTGATACTTACTGGCCTCTTAATTTCCGTCTTTCTTACTTTCTCAACAATCTCATCTAATCTCTTGGCTTTAAATGTCATCAATATGCTGGGTACTTGCAAGGTTTTCTCTCCAGCCCAGACTCCTCCCTGGAATTTCAGACCTATTTACCCCACTTGGGTACCTAATATGCACCTCATACTACTCATGTCCAAAACTTTGTTGATCTCCCTGCCTGCAGACCCATTCATTTCACAGACTTCCTTTTCTCAGTTACCAACAACTATAATGGGTTGAATTGTGTCTCCCCCTGAAATTCATATGCTGAAATCCTAACCCACAGGATCTCAGAGTGTGACCCTACTTGGGAATAGGGTTGTTGCAGGTATAATTATGATAAACTCAAACCAGAATAGAGGACCCCTTATCCAATATGACTGATGTCCTCATAAAAAGAAAAAATTGTGACACAGATACCTATACAAAGAGTATGTCATGCTTAGATGACAGCTGAGATCAGGGGATGCTTCTAAAAGCCTAGGAATGCCAAAAATTGCCAGCAAACCTCCAGAAGCTAGGAGAGAGATAGGGAAAAGAATCTTTACCACAGCCCCACCCGCCGATACCTTGATCTTGGACTTCTAGCCTCCCAAACTGTGAAACAATACATTTTTGTAGTTTAAGCCACCTGGTTTATGGTCCTTTGTTATGGTAACCCTAGCAACTAATGCAGCAACTCTTTCCAGTTGCTCAGGCTAGAAAATATGGACTCACCTCTGATTCCTCTCTTTCTGTCGCACAACATACCTACTCTGTCAAATTCTATTCACTTTATCCTCAGATTACCTTTGGATTCAGATCGCTCCTACAACTTCCCCTCTGCATTATCTTGTTCATCTATCAACTCTTCTTACCTGGGAGTCTGCAAAAACTTCCCAGCAGATCTTGCTGTTTCTCTTTGTCCCCTTTCCTCCCTGCTATAGCAGAATGATCCGTATTCACTCATTCCTTTGCTCAAAGCCATGAGAGGGTTTTCCCTCACAGAGTCAAAGTCAATGTCATCCATCTGACCAAAGGCCACAATCTGGTTCCCAAGACTTCCTTAAGCACCTTCCCTTGCCTATTCCACTTACCATCTAATGTGTTGTCTGTTTTCTTGAGTCTTTGTTGTTTACTGTTTGTCTTATCCACAAAAATAAACTCAATATGGGTCAGGACTATCATCTGTGTTATTCGATACTGTGTCCCCAGTGCATGGGACAGTACCTGGCACCTAGTAGGCACCCACTCAATACTTAAACAAATGAGTCTTTACAGATAACTGGCATTTGTACAACAGTTATCATAAAACCTACCACACCATATAGATAAAGAGGAATGTGGCTTGTTTCCAAGAATCCTGAGAGTGAGAGGTATGTAGCTGAACCAAACTAAGAGAAGTGTCTAGCATAAAAAGATGCCATGTGAGATCCAGAAGAGATCATTTTCTTTAATTACAAAATTAAAGCAAACATAAATTCTTCTCCCCTTGTGTTCACTAACATCTATCCCTGACTAAATAGCAAATCTGTCTCTTGGTGTCTTTTGGGGGTTCTCTCTCTGCTTCTCTGGTTTCTCTATCGTACGGAGCTTCTTCTTATCCCAGTAACGCCTCCTCTAATTTTCAGGTTCTTTCTCATCTTTTTAATCACTAACTTCAGAATCCTACCTCTGGCCATCATTTAAAAAATTCCTATACTCTATTCCTTAATGATCACATCTACCAGCCCAGTTCAAACAAAACTCTCTCGGTGAATGGCTTTCCAAATCATTATAACCAGCTTCAACCTCTCCCTGTGCCCAATTTTATGTTTTCTCTTCCTCTACATAATATCCCTACCTCCAAGCCCTTTCAGATTCTTAAACATATCATGTTCAAAGCTTTTTCCCCCCAGATTTTGATGTTCTGAAACAGTACTGCCAACTGCTAGTTACTCAGGTTCAAATCTTCCTCCTCAACTATCCAATCCAATCAGTTACCAGGTCCTGCTCAGCCCAGCTTTGCAAACTCTGCACCCACTGCTAACCTTGGTTCAGGCCTTTGCTACTTCCTAAGTGTTCTTCCCTGACGCTAGCCTCTCCTCCTTCCAACTCATTCAATAGTGACTGACGAATTTGATAATAAAGAGTTCTGACTGTATTACTTCCAAGTTTGGAGATCTTCTATCATCCCTATTGAATGCCACCATAAATAAAAACCTTAGTAGGACCTTTAAATCCCTCTCCCTACTACCTACCTTTTCTTGCAGGGTTTCTTCATGATGTCTACCCTAATGCTCAGCACACGCCAACATCCCTGTGGAGGTGTTCTGGTCAACCACCATTTTGCACAACCTAGTGTTTCCTCTCCCTCACTCCCTCTCCTAGAAACCCTACTCACCCTTAAAGGGTCTGGGTGTTCTCCCGGCAGGAAGTTCTACTCTCCCTCTCCTAACTCCTTAACATTTTGCTAACCCCTCTCCTTCAGCAGTCATCACTTTTGCTCTTGCATTAGTGACCTGTACGCTAATTCCTTGAGGGCAAAAACCATACCATATGCATCTCTGTGCTCCCATTGCCATTAGCCCAGTGTTGGCAATATTTATTGAGTGAATGAAATCGCACTCCTAATCTCATTACAGTAGAACACACATTTATAAAAGGCGATTTTGCAGAAGGTAAATTAATGAGGCCAAGGTTATCAGTTCGATTCCCATATGGTTCATTTGGCTTTGCACAGAGAGGGGAAAAACAAACCAACCAACCAACCCAGGGACACACACTATCCTCAAAAGCTCAGCCAGCTGTCTCACGAATATACACATTACTAACACAAGAGACAGGCCACAAAGAGTGAATGTTTGGAAAACTCTAGTCTCTACTGACACCCTATCATGTGATTATCTTTGAAATTGAAAGATGGCACATAGTTGGATGGCTGTATGCATCCAGTTTTAAGAAATACATTTGTACATTTTATAGGAGAGGGAAGACGGGGGAAGGGGAAGATCTTGAGCTCACTTCCTTCTTAGACACAGTGTTATCAAAATACAAAGCATGTTTAGGGATTTGCATGTCCGAATTCAACTTTAGGGTATATTCTGTTTATAAAACATAAACACGTAGGACCTGAAGCCCAAACACAGGACCAAACATGTAGATATCAAAGGGCAAGAATAGAGGATCAGTAAAGAGGCCTGGGCTCTACTTCTAGGTCAGCCATTACTTGGTGAAATCTCAGCAAAATCACCTCTCCTCTTTGGGCCAC